AGATTTAGCAGTCTGCTGTGCACCCATTGCAAACAGGTACATTCAGCCGTACGCACTCCTGCCAGCAAATGATTTTTTTTTCTATATCACGAAATTCAAACATGACACAGCCAGTTGCCCAACTTTTGCATTAGAAGAACAGTTCCCACTGGTGATTCAGTACTGGGTTTAATGTCAATTAAAAGTTGCCATTGTGTTTTCAGCGGGAGGTATGGATGGGTGGGTCATTTAATGTTCCAGCCTGTACGTCAATTTCTGCTACCTTACATCCACCTCACCTCTCCAATTCTACGACGGAATGAAGCGCGATTAGGTGTGCAGCCAAAAATGTCAGGACTTCATTGCAGCACATGGCAGCAGGAGAAGCTGTTGCCACGATGTCGGCTCCTCTCATTCGGGTCAAACAAATGATGTGAATGAATCCATTTTTCCTAACGCAAATCGCTGAGTACACCCTTCTACACCTGACATCATGTGGTCAAGCCTTCATATCTGAAAGATCAATCAGTTTGTTCGAAATGCGAGCAGTGCAAACTGGTGCGATGAGCGTTGAATGCCTCCTAATGAGGTTTCGACAAAAATTCTGCAAAATTTTGGAGCATAAATAGCAGTAAATTCCCACTACTTATTTGATCTTCTACTTAGCACGGACAGCACTGCACCACCTGCTCTACGCAACTTGTGTCGGCCATACGATTTCGTTAACCCAACATTATAGAAGGGAAAGGGAGAAGAAGGGTTGGTTAGCAGAGACATGGTCGAATAAAATAAGAGGGTCTCCGAAATTAGTATTATATACATTTGAGTGTCTAATAATTGAGAAGTTTCCAGTGACTTCCCCTGCACTTATGCAATTAACTCGGTTATCTGCACCAACTACTAAGAGAGAAGTGGGTGCATCGAATCGTCTCCTTTGTAAAGAAATGACGTGGCAGTCTGGGTAAGTCTTACAAAAACGCCGAGATCGCACTCCCCGACGTAATTAACGAGACTAACATGACTTATTTTTTATTTAAGTTTTTCTTTAAACCTTACATATTCGAATGTTACTTTCAAGTAAAGTTACCTTTGGCGGATGGTTTTAGTGCTGAGCTATGTAATACTTTCCCTATTCCAATGTCGTTAAATTAATTTTATGAAAAATGCTATTAGCATGACAAATGATTAATTCAAACACAAAAAACGACATGGAAAATAAAATGTCACACGTATTGAGTCTTATGTAAATGCTTGAACCAGACAACAATTGTATTGCTAGACCAGCTAAGTAGAGAGGGTATTTTGAACAATCTTCTTTGATCCTATAACGTTTTGTTTAGGTTATCTCTTTTACTAGGACAGTTTTGTTATTTATTCTTAATTTTCGTAAAGAATGCTTCATATTCTTTGCTGTGCAATTGTCCCACCGGCGATGCCTAGAAAGCTCTAATATCCTTCCTTACAACTTGTATTGAAATTGTCATTTCTGTGGCTGGTTTTTGATTATTCTTACAATTTACCTATAATTAAGCATGTCCTTCTATCACCCACCCTCTTCCTTAACGGTTGTCTCGTCAAACACTTGAGTTTCGGATTGTATTTGCATGCTTTGTCGTACGTACAATCAACTTCCCCTTGTTTAATGTGTACTACCTCTACTTAGATGACACCTCATAGATTCCTTCTTAGCAATGCTCTTGCAAGCAACTGATACTTAGCACTACTTTTGCTGTCCAAATTGGGTGTCGGTTTCAGTCATCACTCCAAAGTATATTTTAGTCGAGCATTACTTTATAATAATAAGTAGGCATGGCAAAATGAAAGTGCGAGACCAAACAGCCTTGCCAGTTTATTAACATTGGGTGCTTCGCATTCTGCATTTCGCTTGTAAAATTACGCAGAACTTAGGCCTTAGCTTCAGGCGAAAAAAAAACTTTGGCAATGGATGTGACAGTTGGATTTTAATGGGTCTAAGCAGCAGATGTACTCAGTTGTGTATATTAGGAAATTTGTAAAGACCAAACATATTTGCCGGTATTTTTGTGAGTAGAGTTGATGTTTAATTTGGTGCCAACACCTTTAAATTCTGTGAGGCTTATAATGGATGCTCACCTCACAAATGAACTCAGAGCAGCTTAGAAGACTTTACTGAAAAGTGGTTTGATCTGACCACAGCTATCTCCTAAGTCTTATTATCGAAATGGTGAGACTGGCTCATTTACTGCTCTCAATTTATGTGCTCTTCAACTTTCTCTACGGTTCCCATTAACACTTTGCTGACATCAGTAGTGTAATTGCGTGTCTTGCTTCTTCAATTACCAGCGTCACCATCACGACCATCAACGACCACTTCTGAAATAAATTCCTTTGAGACTAATGAGTGATTTTATTTTTATGCACTTAATGGAAGGTTTTACCGTGTGCCATGGTGACAATAACTGGGAACGAAATTGTATCCCGACTGGAGTGGACAAGCGTGAATCCCATGCCTTTATCCACCATGGCCGTTGATGGAGCAGACGACAGCAAGAAAGCCAATGATGTGAATGGATAAGACTGATTACCAGCAAATGTGGTTAAAATAACAGCTTTATTGTAGGTTTTTGCTTTTCTAGCCTCGCCTAAGCATCTTCCGCCTTCCTCAAGGAAGTGATAAATGCGTCTGACTGGTCACGCTGTTGAACAAGTCATATTAAACTCACGCCTCCACTTTGCTCTTCCGCTTTGTTGTGCTGTGTTGTGGGAGGTGAAATTGTAGACACCTGAGAGAAGGAACTACCACTCTGATACTTTTATCATTGCAATTGGAAACCACATTTACGTCGATTTTTTGCCCTCGCTCCTCTTTACAAAGAGACACCTTTTGCCTGCTATCAGTTCTGTGCGCATAGCTATTGTGGAATGTGGGAGGGTAGATTATGTGTTGATGGTGATGTCATTTTGTCACGTGTGTGTATGCAGATGTGTGGGTCTCCGCTTGTCTGGGATAAAAAAATTAATTGAAATGAATGAATATGATGCTGCTGAACACGAGATTATGAGGTGGTTAGTTATTTAGAGCCTAAAAGGGAATGGCGAGGCAAAACCAATTTTGCAAGCAACTCTCCTCCCCTCCTCCACTTTCCACTTTGTGCATTCCCAGTATTTGACTGCAGACCAACAAAGCGAACCCTTTCCACCTGATTCCGGATTCATAAACTCAGTTCAATTTCACCTGTTAAATCCTGCAGAATCGGCAAAATGACAGCATTATTTAGTACGATGAAAAGATGAAGATCGCCAAGATGGCTAGAAGCTGCACGATGCAGGTCAAAAATGCCAACTTTAATTCCGCGCTAAGGCTAGAAAGCATCGCCCCGCCTGCATTTTTATGCATACATTTGCCTTTAAATCAAAACACATTTTGCTTACTCAAAGAGTATAAAACTAAACGGGAAGAATTTGTACTAATTTGTTCGGTCTGTCA